AGTTAGATAGAATAAAACTCTTAGAAAATGGGATTTTATCAAACAAGCTCTTTTTCATGTCTTGGTACAAAACAAACTCAATTGGGCCGAGCATGGCCCATCTAGTAATTTCTCATTAACTCTCATATTAAAGTTTAGATGAACTTTAACAATTTTATGAGGTTTGTGAAAGCACTCAGAAGGGGTCTTCATGGCCCTTTCAAACAATATTGATAGGTGTAAACGATTCAGTTTGGTCAGTAATGAAAGAAAGGTTAGTATCAAAATAAAATTTTTTATTTTGATTATTGAAAAATCGACATAGACAATATGATATGGTTTCATTTTGGGCAAATTACCAACGATCCCCTCAAGGTTTGACAAAAATACAGATTCCCCTCTGAGGTTTGAGAAATTACAAATTGCCCTATGAGGTTTATATTTGCATAACAAATGAGTGGACAATTTGTTATGAAAATATAAATCTCAGGGGGCAATTTGTTATGCGAATATAAACCTCAGAGGGCGAGATGTAATTTCTCAAACCTCATGGGGGAATTCATATTTTAGTCAAACCTCGAGGGAGGTGTTGGTAATTTACCCTTTGATTTTATTCATTTGGTTTAGAAAAATAATTTACATGAAATTTTAAAGAATTTTTAAGAATTTTATAAAAACTTATAGAATTTCCAAATTCTAACACTATCAGCCTTTAAATATTCACTAATTTTTTCTCTACGCCCACTACAGGCATGGTAACTTTTGTGCCTCTCCAAGAAATCCTTATTTGGTTAAAAAATATGAGTTAAAAAAAAAAATCAATTAGGAATATACTAAAAATACTATTGACAAAGTGACATGACGACAATGTCATTTGCTAAAAATAAAAATTCAATAAGGAATATACTTTTAGACAATGAAATCTGTCACACTATTATAGTTTGGTTTTAGAACTTTTCATGGCTTAGCTGTTCATACTAATTACAACAAGGGAGTGATTTCTCTCCCGTTCTCATCTGGATTGGAGAGACGTTGTTTAGATCTATGGGACTCACTATACATTATATTTCAATGATCTAAATTGTTCGTTTCTTAGAATTCTTTATGTATGCTATCCATAAAAAAAATTAGATAAATCTAATAATCGTAACATATTTATTTTATTATGTTGTCACTAAATAAATAAATGGCAAGTGTATTTTTAAAAATAGACCATTCATTTTTTTAAGACAAAAACAATAAAAAAGATGTTACAATTATCAAATCGACTTAATTTTTTTTATGAATAATATATACGAAGAGTTTCAAAAAATTAATGGTTCAAATTATCAAAACAAGGCACGTAATAGATTCCATGAGTCCCAACAATTTTTGTCTAGTCCAAATGAGAATTGGAGAATCCCTTAGAACATATGTCGATTTATATATAATTCAAATTTCATAGAGAATAGTATTAATTTCCATATATATCACATTAGTTTTTATTGGCCCAGGTTCTTAACTATTGGCACATGATGTGTCATTATCACTTTTCTCTAGGGGTGTAACTTGGGCGGGCTCAACTCGAGCAACCTAAATCTAGCTCGGATTTTTTTTAGAGCTTGGACAAGATATTTTCAAATTCGGTATGAGTTTGGACAAAAATTCAGGAGCCCGAATTAAATTTGGAAAGGCTTGGGCAAAGACGTCAAACAACCTGAGCAACCCGAAACCCGAATTATACATATATAGATATATAAAAATATTAAATTTACATATAAATTATTAGCCATTACATGCTATTAAGGTAATTTAGTTATTAAATCATATTGAATATATATTATATATACAAATAACATAAAATCTTTTTTTTTTTTATTTTCACTTATAAATTGTAAAAACTACAATAGCGGCATCTCTCTTACATTATATAAATTATTTGTTTTGATGGTATTAATGATTTTCTATAAAAAAAAATTGTAAATAGAGTCAAATTTTAATAATTTAATAATGTAGTTGGAAAAAAAAAAATGAAATTCATTTACAATTCGGACAACTCAAGCAATTCGGATTTAACTCGGGTTGGGCTTAGGCAAGCAATCTCAAGTTACAATTCGGGCTTAGGCATGTCTCAGCACAACTTGGGTTGGGCTTGGACAACCTCCAAACCCGACCGAACCTGACAGAGTTGAACCCCTACTTTTCTCTGCCCCTATAGCTTCAAAATCAGATGTTACGTATCAGAGCCATTCATTTTTATTTTTATTTTTATTTTTTTTAATTTTGCAATTCCCTCCATTTTAGGGAATTTTTACAAGGATGGATCCAAACTATGGCAAGTAATATCGAAAAATAAATAAATACTAGAATGGTGTACTAAAATCACAAGTGGCTGATTAAAGTAAGAACCAACCATTACATTTCCTCGTTGGCCCAAAAAAAACAAAAAAAACAATTACATTTCCCCATCACAGTTCAGAAAGTTTATGGGTACCAGAAAAATATTTAAATTGATGGTACATATTTTAAAATTTTGTTGTGAGGTAATATTTTAAGTAAATCTTGACCACTGATATTAAATTCTAAATATTTTTCTGGTTTTTTTTTTCTTTTTTAGGATGGTAGGATTACTAAAAGTGTAAATAACCCTTTAGAAAATGATGTGATATGTCGATGGGATGAATTTCACTATTTTTTTTTTCTCATCTCTTAAATGAATTAATTCAATGGGTATATGTAAAATTTATCATAATTCAAAAAATAATGAAATACACCATTATTGTTTTGAATATTATATGAATCTAAATAATAATTAAAAAAACCATATCACACCCTGCTTGAACAAATTCGGAATAAAAAAAAATTAAAAAACAATGTTGAAATAGTTATAATAATATTCCTTTATATCACTAGAAATTTTTATAGTCTAAAAGTAACACATACTTTTTTCTTATGCTATATTTGGAGTATGAATTTAGAAAGTGAATGAGAAATGAAGGGGAAACAAAAACTTATAATTCATTCATATTTTTCACATTTTCTCCGTCTTTTTCTAAATTTATACTTAAATTTATAATTCAAAAATTATCTTAGAGAGAGTGGAAAGATTCAATAACCAGATAGGAGAAGTGAGTGAAATTAACTTTAAGCACTTAGAATTAAGCACAAGTTAATTTGAACATCTGATTATTACCCCCCACACACAAAAGGAGTGAAATTAATATATGTGAACAATTTATTGAACAATTTGGTATACCTATCTCAAATTAGAAGACCTTCAACACATTGCACAAAGTACAACATATATTAACAAGAACTCAGATGCCATATGATCAACTGGAATCTTTCAAATAGAAATCACCAACTATATATATTACATGAAAGTGTCATTTTCCATAATTTGAGTCATGACTCCATCTTATTCAATATTCTTATTATGAAGTAATTCAAGTATCAGAAAAGATAGTTGTACAAAATTAAAAACACAAAAAATTTACAAAAATCACTACAATAAAAAGAGTCTTTGGAGACGAAAATTAATGACAAAAATAAATTTTGTTACGAAAGACGTACTTTTTAGTGAAGAAAATGATATTTCGTCTCCAAATGTATCATTTTTAGAGAGAAAAACAAAAATTTGTCACCAATCTACATAAATAATAAAAAAAAATTAGGTGACAAAATTATTTTTCATCATTATTTTTAGTTTTTTGTCACCGAAAATTTTCTCGCTAATTTTTTTGGATAGTGCCAAAATTTTGAGACTTTTGGTGAGGAAAAAATTGGTCACCAATTACAAAATTATTAGTGACAAATATATTTTCATCACCAATAATTTTTAATATTTTGATATCATTTAGCGAGAAAATCTATTTTCGTGGTCAATTATTTTGTCTTTTGGTTAGAATAATTTTGTTACCAATTTTGGAGGGAAAATTGAGAGGCAATGAAAAACAAAATAGGCTATTATTTTTTTCCCACTATAATTACCCAAAATTTAAAAAAAGAAGAAGTCAGTGCATAAATTAATGGGTAAATTACACTGGCACCTTCTGAGGTTTATATTTATTATAGTTCCCTCCTTCACCTTTTGAAAATTACATCTCTCTCCTTAAGATTTAAAGTTTCATTATAGATTCTCCCTCAGCAATTTAATTTTTTTAAATACCAATTTTGCCCTCACTGAGTAAATTACATTGACACCTCACACATTTTAAAAATTACAATCCCGTCCCTAAGGTTTAAAGTAGCATTACCAATTGGCCCATTGGTTAGTATTAGTTGAAAAAAAATCCATTGAAAAAAAAAATTAATTGGAAAAAAAATTAATTGAAAAAAAAATGTTGTTTGTAAATTTTTTAAATTTCTCTTTAAAAACCAACGTAAATTTATTTTTTGAATTTATGTTTTTTCCTCAAATTTACAAACTGAGACAACCATTTATAAACTAAAAAATTATTAAACAAGTTTTTATGACAGTTTTTAAAATTTTTGTAAATAGAAATTGAAAACTGAAAACGAAATGGTTACCAAACAGGATTCAGATGATAAAAATGTCGTAAAATTAACAAATAATTAAATAAGTTACCAACGTAAGAAATGACTTATCAAAAGATTCTTAGGCTATATATGGTTTGATTTTTAAATTTTTTTAAAAAAAATTAAAAATTAATTTGGTTAAGAAATAAGAAATAAAAAATAAAAAATAATTATCATTTTTATTGGTTACAAAAAATGACAAATTGGTTTTTTGGGAACTTGATTTTTTGGTTTTTTTCACTAAAAATAAATTGGTTATAAAATAAAATAAAAAACAAATTCAAACAAAATATTACATCAAAACCCATAATTATTTAACTTTTTCTCTCACAAACATCCCATCTAATCACAAAAAAACCCAACTATCTTTCCAAACACAAAAATTTTTTTGTCCAATAATATCTTATAACTAAAAAGCCTACAAAAAAAAAAAAAAAAAACAATTTCCCAAATACCCACAAAAATTATTTTGTCCCAAAAAAATTTATTACCCCTGAAAAGAAAAAAAAAAAAAAAATCAGTTTTGTTGAGAGAGAGAGAGAGAGAGAGAGAAAGAAAGAGAGCGCTCTCTCTGAAGCAGATAGAAGAAACGACACAGAGGGAAGAATCCGGCTGGAACGGGAACGACGGAGAGAGACGACAGAAACGAAATCACGGCGGAGGGACTTGACGAAGAAAACTCTCTCCCTTCAACCAGGTTTGGAACCTATTTGTTCTAGGGTTAAGATATGGAGATTTGAAAAAAAAGTGTTTCTGATTTGGAGATTTCAATTGAAAAAATGAAGTTTTGATTGAGGACCTAAAAAATTAGTTTTAGGTTCTGATTGTATAAAAGAAATTATTTTGTTGAATCGAAAATTTTAGTGTGGTTGAATCTAACTGTGAGAATTTGTTTAGTTGAGGTGCCCTACATGTGAATTCTTGCTTACATAGTTTCCCCTGGCATGTACCTTTACGAGAATTAGGTTCATTGCAGAATGCCATGGAGAAAGCTATTAAAAGCAAAGTTACTAAAGCAGTTGTTCCAGCAATTGATGTCATGTTTCAAGCTTTAAGGTTAGCACTTGGCATATTTTACCATTTGAAAAAAAAAGAAAGATAGCAGAATGTGATGTTGATTTTTCTGTGTTTTGCTGATTTTGGGGAATTCTGTATTTTGTTTTGTTTCTAATTAATGAATTTGGGGCAAAGATAGTACCCCCTAAAAGAATTTTGAAGATGCTGCCTGAACTCTTTGAGCTTTGACGTTGGATTGGAAAAGAACCAGTGAAATCAATATTGTTTGAGAAAATGCGGGATACAATGGTATGCTTATTTTAGTCAGCTTTAATCTTTGGTTTGTGCATTTACTTCTAGATGTATACATTTTTTATGGTTTTGCCCTTTTTTTTAAATTTTTTATTTTAAATCAGAGAACCATACACACAATATTCTCAATTATGTTTGATGTCACATATGAGTGTATTTCTTTCTAATGGATCGGGAATGCTATTTGATATATTGACTCAGAATTTCTAGTAAATCAATATATGTGGGAGTTTTGCAGCCTCAACTCTATTTTAGTGTCCCAGCAAAGATGCCTATTCCCTTCTTAGTTTTTGGTTACTTATTAAATTACGTATGTATATACATTGCATCTCTATTTTCTTTTTCTCTTTTTTAACGAACCCTTGTCACATGGTCCTCTCATCAGTTTCATAAATCTCTGTTCATAGTCTATCATAATTGGATTGGATAGTGAACAGTTTTGGATTTTTCTTTCAGAATACAAATCTTTTCAATTTTGTTTATGGAATTAGTGAATTTATGAATTTGGGAGGTATTCAGATCGATTGTTTCATGAGAGTCTAAAGAACATCTAGATTCATGTAGTTCACCAAGCTTGCTAATAATGTTTAGGAAGACGTCTTATTTGGTTTGCTTTTAGTCTTTCTTTCTTTCTTTTTTTTCTTCCTGTACATATGGCTAATGTGCATTATTTGATGCAGGTTCCATCTTACATTGGTTCTTATTGCAACAGTATGCTGCTGGATGATGTAAGTCTGATTTTTAGTTGAGCTTTCTTCTTTTAGTAGCAAAATCAAAACATGAATTATTACTTATCAAACAAAAAATAAAAATATCCAAACATGAATGTCAAGTTTAAAACAATAAATTCGTGTTTCATGTAGCTAATTATGGAGGATTGCAGTACATATGCATTTAGGCTCTGATTGCATGAGACATAACAATCTTAGAACTTGAAATTAATGTGATGCGCATAGCAGAGCCACAGGGGCTGACAATTACAAGATAACAATCCATAATTCTATTTAGGAAATTTAATTGACTAAGATTTTGAACCACAAAAAAGAAAAGGAAACCTCCACATCATTGAGGCATAAAGACTCAAGATCAATAACCTTTTCATTATGGAATCCTATTTATTTTATGATGAATACATACGTATCAACACAGATACTAGAATCAGAAAATACTTAGTATAGCTCATTTTCATCAAAGTGCATTAGAAAATCAAAATTCATAATTCATAAATATCTCAACTTTCTCTTTCTCTCCTCATTCACTTGATTTTTTCCTTTTCTGTTTTATTTTAATTATACATTGAATCTGATTTTTGAAATGGGAAATGAGTTTGAATTTTTGAAATAGCTATTTGCAATCCATTATATTTTTATAGGTTTGCAGTGACTCTTCTTCATATCAATTTGTCAAAATGAGTTAGGGCTTTGATCATCCTCTGCATCTTCAGCTTCGCCATTGGGACCCTTTTCACCAACAGGTTGCTCTTCTTTCTCTCTTTCTCTCTTCCTCTCTCTCTCTCTCTCTCTCTCTCTATTCTTTTGGACTGTTTTTGTTTTCTCAATTGAAATTTCACCTCTTTCAAAACGGAAAAAAAAGAATAAGAATAGAGGATTAGTTTTTATTTTTTGGGTTGAGCTGATATTAAAGAAAATTTGGTTGTTGATGTCATAGATTGTGGGCTCCTCTTCCTGAATCCAATGGTCAGACCATCTCACAGCCGTGACATGATCAAGAATTGCAAAAATGCAGAAGGTTAGATTTTTAGATTGTGTTTTCTCTGTTTTCATTCTCTTCGGATTTTTATTTATTTATTTATTTTTTTGTGGGGTCAATGCAATAACACTAGCAAGTGTGCTTGGTTTGTTTTTCTAGAACTTCCTAGAACTTGAAAAATCTTTTTTGACTCAAATCATAATTCCACAACACACAAACTCAAAATACAACTCATACTCTCAAATCACATTTACAAAACTCTACCAAACACTACCTTAGATTTTTAGATTGTGTTTTCTCTGTTTTCATTCTCTTCGGATTTTTATTTATTTATTTTTTTTTTTGTGGGGTCAATGCAATAACACTAGCAAGTGTGCTTGGTTTGTTTTTCTAGAACTTCCTAGAACTTGAAAAATCTTTTTTGTTTTCTAATGGATGGGATGATGGATAGAATTGCATTTTGCATATAGCTACACTTGCACTGTGAGTGATTTATACCTTGAAACCAACCTAAGTAACCAACCCAAAGTTGGAGATATATCGATGTTGGCCTCTCTTTAACTTCCAGCTTTCTTTTCCAGCTATTATGAAAAGTAATGTCTCTTATATTTTTCTTTTGGTTTATGTTTTCCCAGATTATTCACATAATATGGTTGTTGCTATATTTTAGTAATGAATAACGACAAAATACTAGAGTTTAGCAATGTTGCTTCAGTAGTAACTTTGCTATTTTTTAGATTTTTCTCACAAAACATCAAATAAAAAATGTTATATATGGTGTTGCTTCAATAGTAGCTTTGCTTTTGTTAGATTGTGGCTTCACAGCATTGGTTTTTAAATGATGGTTTGCAAATCCTTAGCTGCTATATTTCATAGTTTTTGAAGCAAATTTCATGCCTTTGTCTTTGGCTCTTCATGACAGTGTTGAGTTCACTGATTTTTGCTATTCTTCTAAATAAACAAATGCAGGAAATTATCATCCATCATGCTTGCTATAGGTATGATTTATAGGTATATAATTGAACACGATAAAAACACACACACACACACATATATATATATATATATGTATATATTTTGTGTGCCATATGTCATGTGTTAATGATGAAATAAAAAAATTATACCTACAAATTCATTTGATGAATGAATGTGTTAATAGTTAGGATTTGTATAGGTATGATTTGTAGGTATATAATTGAACACGATAAAAATACACACACACACACACACATATATATATATTTTGTGTGCCATGTGTCATGTGTTAATGATGAAATAAAAAAATTATACCTACAAATTTATTTGATGAATGAATGTGTTAATAGTTAGGATTTGTATAGTCAAGTTAGACAACCATGGCTTTAAATTTAACATGAAGATCCCGAGGTTTTACTTACATGAGAAAAATGGACATTTAATTCTATTGAATGTTTGGGATGGTGATGAGTTTTGCAAAGAATGTAATTACATTACATTGATATAGTATGTGAGTTAGAAATGATTAAATTGATGAAATCATGAATCCGTTTTTGTGTTGTATGCTATTGATATTGATGAACCTATTGCTTAGAGGTTTTGTCCTTGGTAACCGGTAGAGAGTTGCATTGTTGGTGATAGAATGATATGGATTTAGGTTGAAATTTTCATTTTTTCTCTTCTAGGTTGCATGTTAACATATTTAGTCAATGGTTACCTTAACCTTTTATTGTTGTTGTTGTTGTTGTTGTCTTAACCTTTTGTTGTTGTTGTTGTTTTTTTTTTTTTTTTAATGGCAGATTGGAGATGAATGAATTTAGTAACTTGCATAGCAAGAGCTTTTTGTTGATATTACCAGACACATATCCATCATAGTGTAGTTGTACTTTTTTTTTTCCCCTTTGTTGTTGCTTTATGCAAATGAATAGGTTTTGTAATGACTTGTAATGGATATTATATTGAACATGTTATTAAAATGCACAAGTTATTTTGATTGTGTTGTGGTTTTTTATTTTACTAGAATAGATGTTATAGTTTAGATGTTATAGTTTAATTTTTAGATACTATGAGACATTTATTATTAAAATGAACAGGGATAGTTTATTGAAAAAAAAACATATTATTAGCGACAAAAAAAAAAAAACGTGGCTATTAGTTTTCAAACAACAGGACGAATAATTTTGCCACTAATGATATAGTTCCAAACAAATAATTTCGTGACATTTGTTGAATATTTCATCGTTAAATTGAAATATTGGGCAATAAAATGTTTTTTGTCATTGAAGAATTTTGTTTTGTACTCATTTTAGTGTCAAATTTTTTTTTCACCTTAATCTATATCATTGGTGAGGATAAATTTCGTCAACTAAACCTCTATCTTCATATTTTGTGACGAAATATTTCGTGGCCAAATCAATTAAAATAAAATATTATCTAATTCTAGTGACGAAATTGATGTTATAGAGGACGAAAAATGCTACATTTAGAGACGAAAAATTTCGTTGCCAAAAGTGAAAAATAGGCGACAAAAAGATTTTTCTTCACCTGCTATTCTCAGCAACAATGTATAGGCGACAAATGTGGTGACAAAATTATTTCGTCGTAGGTTACTTTGGTGACGAAAATTTTATGTTTGGAGACAAAATAAATTTGCCACCAAAGACCTTTTCTGTTGTAGTGAATTATAATAAGCAATTTGACAACTATCTTGAGTGTTATGTGAGTCTGCTCATTACGTTTTAATTTTGTGCATATAACATTATTGTTTCAATAAATCTCATATTCAATTCTCATGAGACATAAACTACTTAATCTTAATATATGTGTAATTTGAAAATGATCATGCGTATCTCGAGTTTATTTGCAATTCTCCATCAATAACTAAAATAAAAAAGTCTAAAAAAAATGTTTGATAATCAAAATGCCCCCTTTTATTGGTAAGATGGTCACATGGCACCCAAGACACTTCATCTGTTCCTTACCAAACCTCTAACTAAAAATTGACCTCTAACAATTTTATATACTTCAGAACATCCATATCAATATAGGATAAGCCAAAGTTCAAAACCACTGCTCATTAAATAATAATTAACTGCATTCTAAAATGCACATAATTGCAAACACACTATTCACACATAATATATTATATTATTTTACAAGTCAAAGTTTTTAGGTCTCTCAAGCACATGAAATGAGTTCACCATCTATTAAAAAAAAAGAACGCACATGAAATGAGTATACACTGTGTGGGTGAAAATCTGACAACACTGCCCGTTTAGTGATCAGCTGAAGAGCACAAGCAGAATAGATGGCTAAAGTAACCTGAAACAGAAAGAAAAAGCTCCGGCGGTGGTTCTTCCACCCGGGGGCACTCCGACGATCAAGTCAGTATATCTCTCAAAGATAATCAAGTACTAAATTGAATACTCAAAGTATAAGTTACATACCTTAGACCCATGGGGGTGCCTCTCTTTTATAATATACTCAATCCAAGTCCCACTAGAAGTATGACTTCTATGGATTCTAGTTCACTGTTTACTCTGGACTCTTTTAAGTGATAAAGATAAACTCCCTTCCAATTTACTGTTTACTCTGGACTCTTCAAGAGATAAAGATAAACTCCCTAAGAGCTTTATCCTTATCTTGGTTAAGTCCCCTCTTTGCCTTAGGACCCTTGCCTCTTATCTCGGATTCCGATATCTTCGGAGATGACCTCGGCTTCTCCGAGATTACCTCGGCTTAACTACCAGGGCACGTGGCACCTCGGCTGACACGTCGGCGTCACCATGCCACGTGTTGGTATACAGAAAATATATCCCCACAACTGCCCCCTAGGTTCTATTACCTCGACAGTCTGAGGTGATGGAACCTATTCCGAAATTTTATCGCTTTTTTCCTGAGTAATGGCTCAAAAACTATGTTGCCAAGTTTATCTACTTCCAGCCGACGTGTTCTCTTCGGAGAACAAGGCTTTGATCGTATTCTCCCATGCGCATGAGCTGTCGTGCATCTCTAACTGTTTCTCTTACGTGTTTCGTCTTTATTGGAGCGTGTTAGTGACGCGCCTAAAGCTGTCTGTTCATTTCATCTGCGCCGTCTGACGCGTGCGTTACCCTAGGCGTAATGATTGCCCTAATTTTGCCGCCGTTTCACATTTTTGACAAAAACTTTCCTTTTGCCTCTTATTTTTTCATTCCATCTTCTTGTTTTCTCTCTCTGAAAAAGCTTATTCTCCTTCGAATCTGTCATTGCCTCATTCTTTCTTCTGGAACTGCTCTTAATCCCTCATTCTTGCAAAAGCCCTCTTTGCTGTTGCAATCAATTTTTGAGTTTGGCGAGCACAGCCTTGGCTTCATTTGTCCTGGTAAGATCTTCTTCTTTAATTTTTCCATTCTCTTTATGTGCTTTTGTCTGTCTGTTGCCATTACTGATCTTGTTCGAGGTCTTGGATTTATTTGTATCTTGAATTTGTGGCTTTTACCTTGAACTTCTATGCTTTTTCATCATTCTCTTTGCCGTTGTCCTTGATTTTTTCTGTATTTCTATTGTTTCTGAGAACTATACCTCTGTTCTTGAATCTGAAACTTCATCTTTGTTTTCTCTTTTTTGTATCTGCCCCAGATCTGTGCCCTCGATTTTTATCTTCATACCTTATAGATTTGGGATTTGTCTATAGAACCCTTAATCTTTAGGGAAACCTGAAAAACGCCCATCTTCTGAAACATATTCCTCTTAGTTTAAGCCAACATAATGGGTATGTGGAGGCATAGGGTAAATACCCCAACAAAACTTGAATACTTTAGGCAAGAATTCTCTATCCCAGCCGACG